AGAAATGATTGTGTTGTGCGTTTTTAATTCCAACCTGTACATAAGTGCAATAATTTCATAAATAACAATGACAGCTTTCAACATTATCTCTTCAATTTTACATTAATTCTTGCAAAGACAGTATCTGAGAACAATAATAGATATATATTTACCAATATAACTTAACTGTGGTAACTTATCAATATACCAAATATGCCACGCTAACTTTTTAAAATATCAAATTTTGTTCCAATTTTATATTTTCCTAGTTATATAGATGAATGTGATAAAAAATTTCAATTTCGTTAACTATACCTATAAAATTAAACTTTTCCAACATTCAAGGAAAATAGGAATAGGCTTTAATATTTATACTTTATATTAGTGACTGATTAATTGTGACTAGGGTACTACATTTTAGAAAGTTAGGACAATCCCTATGAATTATATTGGTACCTTGACCTTGTTCATTTGTCATGCTATTTAATCATTATTCTTTTTTTTTTTTTATAGAAAGATGACTGGTAAGGGGATCTCAACCCTTGGCTTGGTGTTGTCAGCACCACGCTCAGNAACCCGTGGCCTTGGTGTTATCAGCACCGCACTCTCCTGAGTGAGCCACAGGCCGGCCCATTAATCATTATTCTTTACACAAAATTGTTATAAAGTTGCATTGTCCATATTAACAATAAAAAATTATTAAAATGTAGTAACCTTTTTCTAAATGATTCAAGACTTCATATGAACTACGCAAATTAATATTGCTGATAATATGATCTCTTTGATTATACACTTCAGCAAAATTTTTTTAGAGTATGACTAATCATAGAATTTTCATTCTGCTACATAAAACTAGTTTCTCCTACAAAATGTCCACTCCACCCCCAATAAAACAAATAACCCTCCTTAAAAGCAATCTTTGTAATCCAATAGTCAAATAAAAGTTCCTATTCATTTAAGGAAAAAGCATGAATCCTGTACATTAAATTAGTCTGCTCTGATGTGGGACCTCTCTCCACCAAAATGGAAATCTAGGAAGGAAAATCAGCTGTCCATGACCATTCTACCTTAAGTTAGGGGAGTAAAAAGTAAAATGAACTCTCTAATAGCAGTTCTGCCTGGTAGGAAATGGAAGGGCTCTCAGTCCCAAACTAAAGGTGATTACATTAAAAATTTGGCACTGTCAAATCAGATATAAGATGAAGTGAAAAAGTACATGGTCTATAATAAGTATTTTAAAAAATGTCTAAGAGAAAATAAAATAATTATGCCTTGCTATCAACCAAAGATATTAGTTAAAAATAGTCACAGCAGTTACAATGTACAATATCACCTTTCCTTCTGTAACTAAAATAGTTATTAAACATATTAATCTTAGCTGTAATGGAATTATTTTTATAAGTTTATTTTCTTTCTCTAATACTAAGATAAAATATTTTCAAAATTTGCATGGAATGTTCCCAACAAATTGTTTATTTTTAGCAGGGTTTGTGTTATATAGCTTTGCTTGTTCTTTCAACTACTTGGAAAAACATGATCCCTCAAAATACAAAAACAAATTTTGTCATCTGTAATATTGAATAATCTCAGCCATTTTATACAAAACAACTCACTTTCTTTGGTTTCTGTTAACAAGGCAAAATAAGTCATCCATACAGAAAAAAGGGTTAATTGACTATGATATGTTTTTTGTGGGATATAATTCACTCTTATGGTTTCTCTTCTACTGGTAATGTCTTACCTACTCTAATTCCTTCAAGGTTCAAGTTCAATGTTACAAATGCAGAGATTTTCCAGTTTTCATAATAGACTTTTCTTTTAACATTGCTTTCAGGTTGCTTTAAACAATTAATTTTGCAACTATTATTTCACATTTATGATTATGATTCATATAGCACAGCCCACATTCAAGGCCATGGTTTTTACACTTTTTTGGATAACAACTCTTTCAAGATTTTAACAAGAGCTCTGTCCAGAAAAACAAAAAACTACATATACAGAATTTTGCAAGCAATTCAGGGGTTTCCAGGGCACACTGACATCTGTTTAGGATAAAAACCCTAGCAATAAAGGGATGAAATCCAACAATAGCTTTAGATTTTATATTTAGATTCCAAAGGTTTAACACTTGTATAAAAAGTTCTAGAGAAATCTATTTAAGGTGTTGAATAAACTTTTTATGATTAATCAGGTGAAATTAAAATATTTATAATGGAGAGTTTGGGGTTTTAATTTTAGCTAATCTTATAAGAACTTTTCAAACTCGAATGTATACATG